TATTATTTCGTTCGCATCTGATGCGAAAGTTTTCGTCACGTTGCTTTTCGTTTCTAGGAAATTTGCGCAGGATTTTTTGCAATTCGCTCGACTTGCTTCTTTTTTTTTTCCTTTCTTTCTTTCTTCTTCTTCTTTTTAAGAGTAGAAGCTACCGTCCACCTTCTAGAAAGTAGCGACGAGAGCTCGTTGTTTGGAGCTTTCCACCTTCTTAGTATGTTTCCGCTTATTTCACCTTTGCTTTTTTGCATTCTTACCTAATAAGTGCCTTATCGTGTAAAGTGTAAAGTTTAAAGCTTCTCGGGAATTGATCAACGCAGAATGAGACGGCTCGTTCGCTTATTTTTGCAACTCTGCTTGGGAATGGACAATGGAATTTGCAAAAGTCTCGATACTTTTAGCCGTTGAAGGATTATTGTCGACAGAGACATTGAGAAGATACGGAAATGCTGTTTGATCAATTTTCCTAGCTCGCCTCGGATTTTAACCCATTTGCACCGTGACTGAAGTTACTCGATATGAAAATTTATAATTTGCCGTGACTCGAGTATCCTAAACAGCTAATCTAAAATATCAAAAAAACGATCAGAAATTGTCAGGAAATTGAGTAAGAAATCGGAATATATGTAATCAAACAAATGTGAAGTCCTTAATTAGTCACTGTTCCGTGATGCGAATGGATTAAACAGTTACGCGTTATATTTAATATTGTCGGATTTATTATCGTTTGGAGAGAAAGTCGGCAAGTCGACAGTGAAAATACTCGCCGAAAAAGAGAAGAGAATACGAAGACTTCAACCCCGAAGTGTCTGTCGTATTGTCTTTACAGAGGAAGAATATGTCGCCAGTGTGTATAATGTTTCGAAATGCATGACGATTATATTTCCGTCATTGTAACAGAATGGAAACTTCGTCAACTAATGGATCAACGGAAAATTGATTATTATTGATTATACTGTTTGACGATATCTAGCAAAGGTTCTTCGGTGTTCCTACAGTTTCTCGACTACTTCAAGTTTATTGTCGTACGTAATTATTGTCCAAAGCTGAATACCTGAATGCTTCGTCGATGGATGACTCGTTCTATCGACGCGAGCCCTCGTGATTCTCATTTTTTTCTGTTTAACCCATACCTACGTCCGAATATTTGGCCATCTCGTTGCGAATCCAGGGCACGTATTTGGGCACGTAAGCGTACACGCCCGGTAGTTTCGGATGAGCACACGTGATACCCCAACTTACTATTCCACCGACGAACCATTTCTCCTTGTCGTGCTTGTCCTGGCACAGCAGAGGCCCGCCAGAATCGCCCTGTCAATTTACAAAAGAAAAGAATTCGTTGAAAACTCTGGAAATTAACGTTAACGCTGGCGACTGAAACTTACAAAAACAGAGACTTATGACATGAGTTTCCTCTGAACTTCCAGACTTACCTGGCACGCGTCTTTGCCTCCGTTCGGATATCCAGCGCATATCATCCCGTCGGTGACGTTAAACTCCTTGAACGTGATCCAGAGATTGCAGGTTTCTCTCTTCAAGACTGGGACTTGAACTTCGTTCACAGCTAGCTCGTATTCGGAAGCTGCACGGAGAAATTAATCTCGTTTCACGATTTTAAATAAAAGCTTGATATTAGTTAAGAGATAGAACATACTGTCGGTGTCGTTCTTCTTCCCCCAGCCAATCACGGTGCACAGTGTTCCGGGCGTTAGATCAGTGTCGGCTGTTGGCAGACAGACTGGCCTTAGATGTTCGTGAAACTGAACTCGTTTCTCCAGCTGAAAGTAAATAACGATGGGAGAATCTTTCTTAAACTTTCTTCTTATACCTCGAGAGATACGAGGTTGGTGAATTGAGCAGTAAGTTCGACAATATACAGATGATAAATTTATCATTCCTGAAGGAAATATGATACGTGGACAATGTACAGGCGGTTAGAAATTCATTGCTGAAAAATTCATTATACCTGAAAAAGTGCCACGTCGTTGTCTTGAGCGACTCCTACATTGTACTCCGGATGGGGCATCACTCTTCTCACCTTCAGCTTCTGACCAAGATAAGTGTGCGAGTGTCTTCTAGTAATTCCCAGTTGTATCGTCCACCCGGTAACGTCGGAGTAACTGTAAGTACAAAGTCATTTTATAAGATCGTCCACGGATTTAAGATCTCGTCTCTTCGGTATCGAAGAGAGTGCAGGAGAACTCACTTGCCCACGCAGTGAGACGCAGTGAGAACCCATTGATCGGCAATCAGGACTCCGGCGCAGTAAAAAATCTGTTCAGGGCCTCCGAGAAGGGCTGCCAAAAATGGCCAATCACCAGGGGCTGATTCCACGCCTCCCACGATTCTCGTTTTAGCCTTCATGTTCCCATAGACCGTGTTCCTCCTCCCGCAGGCTGAATAAAGTTTGCGATAATTAACGAATCAGCGGACTTCTGTCCAAGTTTCTATCTTTTACCAACGACAATCGAATTTAAATTCGAGTACTAATTCTTTATCATAGCACGAATGAATGTGTACCGTATTCTGAACAAGTTAACTCAGCAGTCGGATAGGCTTCTTGATCCGTGATACATTCTTGAAATTCCTTGAGAAGATTCGTACGACGAGGCTTGGGTTCCCTTTGAGTGAGGTTCATGCCTTGTGCCATCAACCTGGACGAAATTGACACCCTGAAACGATTTCGTCACTATATTATATTATATTCGTGACAATATTTGATATTATAGACATTTTAATCGGGCATGCTCTTACGTGTATCCGAGCATGGAGCAGATGGTTTTAGCGGAACTCGAGTCCCAGTAAGGGATGCAGGCTGGCATGAATTTGCCCATCTCTGCGTGGTACACTTCCAATCTCCCTTCGCCCACGTCGCCGTTTCTCTGACTCAGTCTCACTGTCGCAGTATTTAAAAGAATTATTTACATATCTGATACACAGCTATATTAGTTGACAGCTTTGAAGCTTAAATCTAGAAAGTACGTGTCGAAATGATTCACGAATCAATACCGAATCTTTCTTAGGAAGAAAGATTTTTTATC